TATCAGGTCTGCTGGGATATTGTTGAGACTGACGTCCAGGAGGCAATGTTGGACTTTTTCTCCGGCCACCGGATGCCGGATTCCTTCACGTCTACCTCTGTCGTCTTGATCCCCAAACGACCCAACCCGAGCTCTTGGTCCGATTACAGGCCCATCAGCCTGTGTAACGTGACCAACAAGCTCATTTCGAAGATTCTTAACGGCCGTCTTTCCCCTCTTCTTCCCTCTCTCATCTCTCCGAACCAGAGTGGATTCATCAAGGATCGGGTCATTAGTGATAACATCCTTCTGGCCCAGGAGATGATCCACGACATCTCCCGAGCGGACTGGAAGCGGGCTCCGAATATCGCGCTGAAGCTAGACATGGCTAAGGCGTATGATAGGGTTGAGTGGCCGTTTCTTAGGGAGGCGTTGGCTAGGATGGGATTCCCTGAGCGCTGGATCAGCTTTGTGGAGGCGTGTGTGGAGCATTGCACGTTCTCGGTCCTCATTAATGGCAGCCCCACAGACTTCTTTCCCTCCTCTAGAGGCCTTAGACAGGGCGACCCCCTGTCCCCTTCCCTCTTCGTTCTTGCGGCGGACTACCTCTCTCGCTGCCTTGACGGCTTCATCCGCGACTCTCCTCATATGACCTATAGCACCTGTGGCTATGGTCCTACTGTCTCTCACCTTTCTTACGCGGATGACATCATTATCTTCACCCGGGCGGATGATGATGGACTGGTCGAGCTCATGCGCCTTTTGGAGCACTATGGCTTGGTCACCGGTCAGCTGGTCAGCGTGCAGAAGAGCACCTTCAACCTTTCATCTGCCACAGTGGACAGGTGGGCTCAGCGGGTCCACGACATTACTGGCTTTGCGCGTGGCGACCTTCCCATTACCTACCTCGGGGTCCCTTTATATAAGGGCAACCTCACGAGAGCGCTCTTTGCGGGCGTCAGACAGAGGATGATCGACAGGATCTCTGGTTGGTCGCATAGATATCTTTCTTTCGGTGGTCGGCTAGCCCTGATCAAGAGCACTCTTAGCTCTCTTCCGATTCACCTGCTTATGGTCCTCGACCCCCCTAGGTCTACTCTTGACGAGCTTGACCAGATTATGGCTCGTTATTTCTGGGGGTACGAGGACGGGTCTGGGAGGGGGAGACGTACTCACTGGGTGAGTTGGGATTCTATCTGTCGCCCCCTCCCTGAGGGTGGCCTTGGCATCCGCCGCCTCAGGGACATAGTTACAGCTTTCTCATACAAGCTGTGGTGGCGCTTCAGGGAAGGAAAGTCGCTTTGGGCTCAGTACCTTCGCGGCAAGTACTGCCCTAGACGCGCCAACCACCCTTGTTGGGTCAAGGCTGTTGATCATGATAGCAGACAGTGGCGGCGCCTCACTAGGGTCGGGAGGCGAGCCCAGGACCACATCTTTTGGGTTTTGGGTGGGGGCGATGTCAGTGTCTGGGATGAGTGGTGGGTAGGTGATAGGCCGTTGTCTAGGGATAGGCAGGTGTCGCACTCCCCCTACCTGCTCGTGAGCGACCTCTGGACGGACGGGTCGTGGGATAGGGGGAAGCTTGATAGGGAGTTGGGGGCTGGTGCGGGTTTTAGAGAGCAGTTATTAGATCAGATCCAGCAGATCCCTATCTCGGGGGACGGTTCAGATAGCATGAGGTGGAGACTTACATCATCAGGTGTGTTTTCTACTACCTCGGCTTGGGAGCAGATAAGGCTGAGGGATCGGCCTAATCTCCTCTTCGGGGCTATCTGGAGTGACCTTTTTACGCCTACTATTTCGGTATTCCTTTGGCGCCTTCTCTTGCGCCGGATACCCGTCGATACTGTGCTATACACGAGGGGGATCTCCTTCCCCTCTCGATGTGTGTGTTGTTCTGAGACCGGACGCCATGAGACTGAGACCTTTACCCACCTTTTTCTAGAGAGTGAGATTGTGAGGAGAGTGTGGGAGCATTTCGCCATTTGGACTCATATATCCCTACCCACCACATACAGTTTTTTTGAGCTCCTGAGTTTTTTCTCACAGAGCACACACCTTAGACACGTGGGCTTCCTCATTCCTTGTCTGATCCTTTGGTTCACCTGGACAGAAAGGAATAGTGCGAAGCATAGGGATATTACTTTTACGTTTTCTCACATTGTTTTGCAGGTTGAGAGATACATTTCACTCCTCATCTCATTGGCAGGCTCACGGTTCGAGACTGGACAGGTTGCACGCCACCGCACCGATACATGGTGGCCCCACCACCGCCTGTTCGGACTCCTCGGGCTAGAGCTGTTGTTTGGCTTCGACCTGACTCTCCGTGGGTCAAGCTGAACACTGATGACTCATTTGATCGCCATACTGGAGTTGCCGGAGGAGGAGGCCTGATTCGAGACCATAGCGGCGCCCTCATCACTGTTTTCCACGCGTCCATTCAGGCCTCCTCGAGCTACGACGCAGAGATTCAGGCACTACAGATTGGCCTACAGATAGCTGCCCACCTCTCTAGTCATATATGGATCGAGCTGGATGCTGCGGCTGTCGCCACCCTCCTGACTTCGGGCCATCAGGGCTCGTGGCAGATTCAGCACCCACTTATGCGCATTAAAGATATACTTCGGTCAGTCCACCACAGGATTACGCACATTTTCCGTGAGGGGAACAGACTTGCTGCCTATCTTGCCAGCCTTGGTGCCACCATACCCGATATACATACGTTCCAGACCGACACTGCTCCACTCCGCCTTCGCACGCTTGTTCGGATGGATCAGTTTGGATATCCGTCTTTCCGCTTTCAGTAGATTAGATTTTCTTTGTTGTCATTTCATTAGATTCTCATTTTCTTTTTCGGGCACTTGTTAGCCCATAGACAGACTTTGTACTTGCTCCGCTAGTGAGACCTTGTAGACTGTTGATATTTTTTACCCCCGTTTTGGGGTCTTGATCTATGCACAGGTTGGGGATCCGGCCCAATCCCCCGCCTCTTGGGGCGTTGTTTGTCAACATCAGACAACTAACATAGCAGCATCAGACAACTAACCTAGCAGCAAAAGACAACTAACCTAGATGCAAAAAGACAACTAAGCTAGCAACATCAGACACCCAACATATCAACTACAGGTAACTAACGTAGCACCATCAGACAACTAACCTAGCAGCAAATATAACTAACCTAGCAACATCATACACTAACCTAGCAGTATCAGACAGCTAACTTAGCAAAAAATAAACAAAACATATTACTTTAATCTATTAAATGAAAGAATGAAAAACCTAAATCGAAAAAGTTATTACAAACAAAAACAACAGCAAAAAATACTCACCAATTTAAGACGAGAATCAGCGAAATCACAGAGAATCTGCGAGAATAGACTACGAAGGATAAAACGGAAACAGAAAGTAACGCCTGAGAAATCGAAATCGAAATCGAAAATGGAAGAGAATGGAACAGAAACAACGAGCAAGTGCGAAAATGGAGAGGGAAAGTAGAATAGAGAGTTCTGAAGACGTACCGCCCGCGAAATCAGAAATATTGATTAATGTACTAAATTAATTCTTAACGTTAGATTAGATGAGTGGTGAACGGACCAGATCAGGTCTCACGTCCTCACTTTTAAAAACGGGACGCATCTGAACCATTCCATATATANGCTTTTAAACTACACATCACACCAATAAAACCCCCAAATATTTACATCACAGCTCCTAATCTACGTCTAATGTCGCGAAGCAGTTGGATAGGATACAACAGATGGCCAAGTAGTTGGACAGGATACAACAGATGCCCCATAAAACAGCAAAGCAAAGACAAACAAAAAGAAAAAAGAAAAGAAAAAAAAAAAGAACTTTTTTTCTTTAGAAAAAGGCAAGAATAAACACCAGGTAATTTACATACAAAAGCTTTTTAACTGGTTCAACTTGGGCAGAGAGACGATAAGTTCTTTATATGTTGTTTATTCTTCACAATGCGGTTTCCAACGTATATCGGACTATGGTCATCATTGCCTCATTTCCTATTAGCATTGCTTTGATACACAGTTTCACATGTTATCCGGCACCATGTATGTATATTCACCTTCGTCGACGTTTTATTTCCACCTGAAAAGCTCATGTAGCAGATAAACGAATTATGTGCCGATTTGAAACGCAACTTCCAAACTTTATAGTAGCTAAACAGAAGCGACAAGCACAGAAAATAACTTTTGAGTTCCGACCTAATTACATAACTAGTTGCTTTGAAGAGTATGATTTGGACACATAGAATTTAAATAACTTTGAGGTCTGATCCAATTACAAATAACACAAATTACCTTTGGAAATTATGAATCCCCCAATAATTTAAATTCTATGTGTTTAAACCATACTCATCAAAGCAACTAGTTATGTAATTTACATTTTTTATTTTTAAATATGACTTCTCACCTTAAATTTTATTTGGAAAGGCATGTCCAACGTAACACCTATATGAGACCATCTCATACTTGCTTTCGTGTTTGCAAAGAAGATGAATTGCAAGTAATGAAACTGTCAAGTTTCAAATTACAAACAACTCAATTGATCTTTTATCTACCTAAGAAAAAGGCTGCTATTGGTTCCAGTAGATGGTGGTTATTTATTTATTTATTTTTTTGGGTAACTTGCAAAGATAAAAAAAAGTGCTTCTTTTGAAACTGGCTAAAACTAGCGGTAAATTTCGCAACTATCCCTCAGAAAAAGAAATAAATATCAAATGGGTAGCTTTATTCTGAAAGATAGCTGGAGGTTTTGTGTGACTAAACAATACCTCACTGCAAATGCAAACGAAAGATTTTCAAGTGAAAATTTGGCAAAGATGTGAGCCAAGGAATTTGAACAGCTAAATAATGGTAACAGACCTCTTCTAGAAAGGATGCTGAAGGTCGAATCCTACCCACCCTTATCCTCCAACTTAACTAGAAATTCGAATTTATTTAATTTAAAAAAGAAAGGAGAAAAAAGAAAAATGTATATATTCCGCCTACTAATCTGCAAACCAATTAGTGCTGTAAATTGATAACAAATTAAGAGGATAGCAGACATCATATATAATTAACAGTGAGCAAGCAAATACCTCTGCATCAGGAGTTCTTGTAGAAGCATTAGAATTTTCTAATCTCTTCTGATCTTCTGAGGAACAACTATGGCAGTAGAAGTGATCGACGATTTTGGCTTCCTCTGGTGTCATATCAATACAAGTCGGATGAAACCTAAGGTGAAATTTTGAAAGGTTCATTTCAATGTCACAACTGAAGGTATATATGTTTTCAAAAACCTAAGAACTACAATCCTCAGAATTGGTAATCCATGAACAAATCATAAAGTAGGTCTCATCTTTGACAACAATGGTCAACGAGGCTAAGAGACATGCTAATAGAAAAAATTTATCCGCATGACGGTAGTATCCAAATTTAACAATGTACAGATTGTTGTGATAATGAACAGCTTAGCATGTTATCAACCATCCGAACTTGGTCATAATTCTGTAATCATCATAATTTCTGGAAAAATTCAGTTAAAAACTTGAAAATAAACGGATCGTGATAGATTTAGAGAGGATGATGCTGCACACCAAAGAATATTATTTACTATAAGTATGAACATATCAGATAGATTTGTATTTCATTTTAACTAGTTGATTCTATTTCATAAAACCATTAGAGATTGGCTCGCCAATCCCACCATTGGACACTATAATCTGCTGAATCAACCATATAGAAGCCTTGGAGCAAGACCCTACACTGCCAAGCTGGAATAATCATTCTAAAACTCTAAATAATACAACATGTCTTTCACCTTCGATTTTGTGCTATCTCTAGTTTCCATCAAAATCTTGTCTATACAAAAAGAAAATAGACCGCATTTCTTTAACAGTAGCACAGGCAATGTAACATGTTATACATTATATCTCACATATCCCACTTCCAAAAAATTCAAATGCAACCCAGCAACATGGATGCCAGAAGCCAAAAGGCAGTATTGTGACTGATAACATAAAGAGAGTTCAGCATTTTGCATCATTTTTAAATGGTGAAATTACAAGAATATGGACACCTTATAGATTCTGAGTGCGTTGTGATTGTATAGAACCTTGAAAGCAACATATGAAATTAAAAATAAAAAATAAAAATATGCGCACCTACTATAAATAAACGAGCTCTGATGACTAAATCNATGGCAGGTGGAAGCATGTAGAAAATGAATCCATGATAAACAAGGAAGTCGGATAATATTCTGCGGTATATCAACTCACCAGTCACTGCAGCCTTCGCACTGAACCATAAGATCATCAGGGTTATAAGGCATCTCACACTTACAGTACCTGCCATGGCAAAGTGAGCACATATAACCTACTCAATACAAATATGCACGGACAAGTTTGGTACGTTCTGAGAATTAACATCATATCACTGAATGTTCGTGTAACACAAAGATGATCACCAACCAATACAAAACCCTTCAAAGCCACTAAGATAAACCAGTAAGATGGAGCCAAATCTTTACAATCTAAAATTTACAGCATTGCCACAAATATTCAGCAGCTAGTTATCCGACAACAATTAACTAAAACATCACACAAAAATAGTAATGGACACAAAAGACCAATGAAGGACAACATAACAGAAAAAGCAGGAAGCTATGCAATATATGCAATAAACAATTTCATCTATGTAATATATTTAGGTACAAAGTAGACAATGACCATCCAACTTAAATTGTCTAATGACATTACCATAATCTAACTCAGTGACACTCATGTTTCTTCTTCAATGGGCTACAAACAGCAGTTATTCCAGATAAAAAGCAATCAGAAACAAAATCTGACATTGTTAAAGGCAAATAAAATACCCTGTTTTCAAGTTCAAATACAGAACATAATGATATATATAAGGTCATCTCCTTTCACGTACTAACAATTTGGTTAGTTAGTTGCAGCATCAAGGCCACAGAAAAAGTAATAAACTGATTACTGTTAGACGTCTTTCCTGTCAATTATAAACCCAAAAAGCTTGTAATAGGCTTCACTTCCAAATCACGTAGTTTTATATACTCTCTCCGTCTTTAATTTATTGTTATGGGATTTATTGCCCACTTTCCAATTCATTGTTCTCTTTTTCTCTTGCACTCATCTCCCAAAAAAACCAGGTACAATACTTAAATTAAATAACTAAAAGAACCCTTAATTTTTTTCTTACTTTGAAAATAAAATCCTTATATCTATTTTCTAACCAACCTAGGTACATTTTCCAACTTTGCACCAGTACAAACTACCCTATAAAACCCCCAAATTTATAACTGGAAAGTACCTCAGCGGTGCTCTAGGAATGAAACAATACTGAACCACATTTCAGCCATCATGAATTATAAATAATAAATAAATTAAATTGATGAGCGGAAAATGATTTATCAAGTTAGTTTGCATGATATAAAAACAATTTATCAAGTGAATTGCTTCATGTAAGAACAAGAAAACACTCATCATAATGCTGACTAAACTAGAAACCAGGTACGATCTGAATTCAACAATTATACACTAATTCTAAGCTACTTCGACCACAGATAATAACTAAAGCTGCAAAACGAATTCCCTAAACCAAATGAGGAAAGATTCAGAATAGACAGTTGTACCAAAACTTTCAAAGTCATAACTTTTGAAGGAATCCACCTCGAAGTCCACTAATTTCTACAATTAGCCAAAAATAATAACGTACACAGGGACTCTGTCTGGATTGAAAGCTCCAGTAGAAGAATTGTACTCAAAACGACAGAAAAAATCTTCGTTCCCGACAGCATCAAGCTTGGTGTAGCTCTTGAAGCTGTGCACCGTACACTTGCCCTCAATAGTATCTGCACTCTGGGTATCAAAATGATCAGATAAGAACACCTCTTTCGAGCCGTGGAATTGCCGCCGACCGCCGAGAGACTCCTCTGGCCGGTAATACCACCTCACGTGAACCCTCACGTTCGCGCCACGGCTGTCCGCCTCGATCTTCTCCACGCGCGCCACGTACGACGGTTTTGACGACTCCGAAGGCCGCATCAAAACGCAGTCTCCGGCTGAGAGAAGCGAGAAAGCAACCGATTAGGAAAAGGAAAGCAAAATTAAGCAGAATCTAACTCAGGTAACTTGTGCAGACGCAAGTACAATACAAGAGGGCTCGAATTGAAATCAGAATTCGACAAATTAGAGAAACTCACGGCGGATGGTTTTGTTAATGTGCTTGACGGAGTACGAATTGAGGGTACGGCGGGTGGCTTTGTGTTTAGCCATGTGCTGTACGGCGGGGCAGCGTATGAGAGAGAGAGAGAGAGAGAGACACTAACGTGTACAGAAGATACTAGACTACAGAAAGGTACTTTTATATTTTATAATTTCATATAACTAAACGGGAAAAGAGTTGGGAAAATGAGGTAGACATAGTATGTGATCCTCGCAAAATTTTAGTGTGAGACGAGTTTACTATTAGTGGGAGTGTATTTATTATTATTATTTTTTTAAAAATGGATATTATAACTCAAAAAAAAATTTCAGAACAGTCGGGGCTAAAAAACCCCATACATCCCGCCAAAGTAGGAAAGTAGAAGCACCAACAATGTGTTCTAGACAAAACTAACTAATTAAGTAAGGGATTAACTGATTAAGGATCCTGTTTCTGACACAGACAACTGCAATTGAGACTGGAGCGGATTCACAATCCCAATCCAACAAAAGGTATTGGCCACTGATCAAGGATCCTAGCTAGATACCAAACAAGAGGGACCCAAACCAAAAGAAATGCCCAACCTAACAACCAAGGCAGGAAAAAAAAACTGAAAGAAACAGCTAAAGCTCAAGAAACAACAAACCTACGCAGATAGCCAAACAACCAACTAAGAAACAACAAACCTACTCAAACCAGACATTATCTACAAGAGCTACTGCACGCCAAAGCAAATTTAGACCATTCTCTCAAAGCAGTAGAAACCGTAGAAAGTTCACTCCTCCCGTCATTATGGAACACAATCTGATTCATGGATTTTCATATTCCCCACATAATGCACGCAATTAAATGAAGCCTCTCAATAGCAAATTTAGAGATTTTGATGGAGCACAATTTTGACCACCAGGATTTGAAGTTCTGGCTGAGAGGCTCTATCCCATCCCAAATGAGAGGAGAAAGTTTCCAAATTATTTGTGATCTTATGCATCTAAAGAATACATATGCTCTTGAGTTTCTACTTCTTCTCCATAGATTTTGCATATGGGGTCAATGATGACTCCTTTTGTAGCAAGGTTGCTCCAGGACATGGTTGAGGTTCCAACACATCTCCAAATAAAATGCCTTATTTTGCCTTTGATTCTAAGTTTCCACCTTCTCTTCCTCATACATATGGCTTCTTCTTGCTCAGAATTCTTTTCAGCTATATCCAACCTGCTCCATTTATCAGTGACAAGTTTTGAATAGACATAGGCCACTGAGAGTTTCCCTTTGCTATCATAGTCCCAAACCAACTTATCTTCTTTAGAGGGTTATATGTCCTTGACGCTTAGAATAAAATCACTTTCAACCTGTGTAAACAGCTTTGACACCAGCTCTCTATTTTAATGTGTAGTTCCCCATTCGATTAATAAGAGACATCTCGTTTCTTATTTAATTTATGCAATTTATTTTCTAAGCTCAACTAAGTTCTTCGAGATTATTTAGACTTCATCGTCTATTTAATCCTTAAGTTGAATAATTTGTTTAGACGTCCTCGTCTACTTAAATTACTCGAATTTTTCGGCAATTCGTTACGTTTCGAACTTGTTCAGTTCTAGTCCAAAAATTGAACCTTTTTGCTAGCTAATTTGTTTTTTTTTTTTCTTTAACCAAGCTTGAGCCCATTTTGTCCAGCCCTTAGAGCCTTTGAACTTTGCCCAACACCAAGCTTGACCGGCCTAAGAGGCTTCCAAAAACCCGTCCCAAGTGTCCCTCTTGTTGGCTCCCTTTTCGAGTTTGAATATCAAACCAAAGGAGGCCATTTTTGGTAAGATTTTATGCATCCCATCAGCCTTTTGAGTAGATTTTCTTCCCCAAATCCCCTCGATTACACGCCTCATACCCACTCCAATTAAGGCAAGAATATATCCCCTCATTTCTTCATATTTTTTGTTCCCCTCCAAGACTTGCCTTAGCCTTTTGTCTCTCATTATTTTCGTCCCTTATTGCAGCAAGAAAGATAAAAAAAGTTCTTCTCAAAAATCCCCTCAACCTCTTTAATTTTTCGAGCAAAATTCTCCCCAGCCCTCTCGCGCGTCGCCCTTGTTTAGCCTCCATCACAGCCAGCAGCCGCGACGCGCATAGCCGATGCCTCGCGAGGATCCTCCCTGCGCGGCCCTTCCTTTAGTGGTTCGCGAGTGTCTCCGAGGACTACCAGCCATCACCATCGTTGTCGGTTGTCTTCTATCACACACACCCACCCAACGCGAGCTGCGCGAACTCCGACGAACCCGTGTACGCGCGCCCACAGCCCTATTCGACCTCCCTTTGCTTCACTTCGTGTGATTTCCGTGAGAACGGTATATGATTGCTTAAACCCCCTTATTTATACGTGTTATCATGGAATATGTGAGGTCCCTTTGTGTTATGATCCATGTTGATTGAAATTAAATTGTTTAAGGCATGATCTATATGATTTAATGTGAAATCCTTATAGATCTTGTTGAATTCGTAAATTTCTGTGGAATAGTGGAACACTTGAGTGTCCTTAGCCTTATGGTGAAGGCCTTGGACGTTTTCAATGTGTTTTGAGGCCTTAATGAATTTTTGTAGTTGATCTAGCCTCAGAATTTTGGAAACTCGGCAAAATTGTGTGAAATTTTGAGGATCAAACCCTCTATTGATATGGTCCCTTGAGTAAAAAGTTCAATTGAAAATTCAATCTGTAGCTATGTAATATGAGGATTTGTTATTTTGGCCTGTTTCTTGAAAAATCAATATAAAACCATGGTCTTGTCCTTTTGGGTTGAATTTCTGGGGATTGTGTTCTTTTGCTAGGGTTGCCATTGTGTTAAAATTTCAGGTCAAAACTCGGTTTGTAACCCTATTGTATCAAGAACTTCATATTGTGTCTCATATTTTGCAAAAAAGTGTTCTCTGATTTAAAATGACTTTTAAGGGTTCATCTCTGGTATATATGTCTTTTTGAGTCCTCTTTCCTGTGTCAAAATTTTAAATAAATCGCATGAGCTAATCTTTAAAAGGTTCGGTTGAGTTGTAAACCCTATCTGTTTCCCGGGTCTCTGTCCCCGCGTCCCGTGTCTGCTGCATACCTGCCCGTGTCGCCCGCGTGCATGTCCCGCGTTCTTGTTCCGTCACGCGCGTCACCCGTGTAGCCCGCGCGCACTCCCTTGTGTCTTTCGCGTCCTTGCCGTGCCCAGCGAACGCCCAGTGACCATCACCCGCGCCCAAGTGCCCTGTACCATGCCCGACCCATGCCAACTGCACCCTGGCCGTGTCTAGCAGCGCCCAGGTCGCGCCAGACCACACCATACCGCGCCCGGTCCGTGACAGCGAGCCAGCCGGCGCCCGTGCCAAGCCGTTTCAAACCATTTTTCGTTTTTCTCAAACCATTTAACTTCTTTTGACCCGTTTGACCTCATTTTTCATGCCGAGTCTATTTGTTAGGTTTTTAAATAATTTTTCCGAGTCTAACTCTCAAAACCAAGTGTTCTAACTTCTATAAAACTTCACGAACGACTTAGTCAATAATGTTCGACTAAGTATGAATATTCGTGATTTATTCTAAGGGCCAAAATAATATGTTGATGAAATTATCTTGACTAAATGTAGGTGTATGACGAGCCGAGCTCTCGACCTACCCTTGTTGTTCGAGCATTTCTCTGCTAAATTGTCCAGGTGGGTTCATTTAAATTTCTATGCCGCAAATTGTTTATATTTTGTTGGACGGTATGATCAATGTATGCGTGTGAACCATGTAACCTTCAATGTGTGTTGTAGGACCTTCGAAACGGTTATCCCCATCGTTGTGTGTTGTATAACCTTTGGCATGTACTCCCATCATTGTGTGTTGTATGATCTTCAATGGCTGAGGATAGATGTGCACATGAGTATCATATGATTGGGAGATGTGATATGTTGATTGATTCATGTTTATGCTGCGACCATACATATCTGTCATATATATTTGATTTATGTGCATAGTAGTGAGCAAGTGGTGTGTCCACTACCATGTAACCCTCCTTTCAAGTTGAGCAGGTAGCGGGCATGGCGACGAGGAGACGAGTGGTCGGTCTGCATTTATGATTATATTTGTTTCCCCATTTTGTTATGTTGAGTATGTTATTTATTTTCAAACAATGAAGTTTGGAATATTTTGTATTTGGCATGATGAATTGATTTTAAACCCAATGAGCTGGTTTATTTTTCTATGTTGTTAAACATGATGGATTGGTATACTGTGTTGACATACCTATGTTGTGATGATTATGATGTTGTCAATGGATAATGAAATCCTTGCAAATCGGGTAATGAATCCCCGTTAGTTCAGATACGACTTGAACTATTTTATGAAATGAATGAGTAACGCCAAAAATGTTTGAAAATCAGAAAATGAGTTTCGAAAATTTAATTATGATTTTTTGGAAAAGCCATGTATTTTTTTTAAATCAACAGGGAGTTATAGACATACTCGGTATTTTGGTAAATGATAATGTTTATATGATGTGTTGTTATAATTAGTTGTGGTCACTATGTCCCAGTGCGCTGGGTTGATGACGTCCCCGAAATGAGCTCAGGACGGAATATTATGTCAAGCCCTGTAGGCGGATAAGTTTCCGACATAATGATTAAGGAACTGAGTGGTACTAATTTCAGAATAAAAAAAACTTGATTAATTTCATATCACTAATTTAATTAATCAACTGACGTTATATCTTAAACATAGAGATGATAAATCGATCAACTAAATTAATAATAATTAATTAAGTGGAGGTTCGAATTTATTGAATTAATTAGAGCTAAATGGAAGGAGCAATAATATTACTCTAGTGGAATGTTTTATTATTTAATTATATTAGGAAATAAGAATTAATTTATTTTCTAATTAGTTAATTCTCTAAGAAGAGGAATATTCTTTCTAGAATATTATCAAAGGTTAGGAGACTTAAGAGTCTTCTAGAAGAGGTAATTAATGTTAGGAAGTATTAGGTCTTCTAGAAGGGAAAGTAATTAGAAAGTAAATAGGTTTCCTAACCCTGGTAGGATAAACCCATATTTAGCACCTCCTTAAGATCCCTAATGTAGCCTATAAATATACCATGTTCCAACCTCTCTTCTCTTAATGTTGATTGGCCGAGTTTAAAGTTCTATGAGAAGAGCAAAACCGAGCACATGACAAATTGAGAGTTCGAGAGTTTCGATTTGTAACGCCTCGAATCTTTTTATTATATGTGAGCTCGACTTTAGTTTTAGAAATAGCATGTTATATTTATTCTAAATTTTATTTATTTTTCGAGCATTAAATTGAATTATATAATCCCAAGTCTAAGTCATAGAGGACCTGTTCGATTTTTAATTCCGAAATCGAATTAATTCTAGCCTAAGTACCAGTTCATTTTTCCTTAGAAAAATGACCGTGAACTTGGCCATTTTTATTCCTTATCAAGACGTATAAAATCGGGAAAAATATAGATAGGGTCGAAGCCCGGTCGAGCCGAGACCTCGGCTCAAACACGCAAGCAAGCTCGTCCCAAGTTGCCGAGCCCAAGCCCAACACCACGACCCACTACCGCGCACATAGGCACCCGAGCCCGCGTCACATCCCTAGGCTAACCCAATAACCCAATGCCGAGCCTAATGACACGATCCAATGTGCTAGCCCAAATTACTTCCCAAGCTCATGACCAATGCACATGAGGCCCAACTCTAGCAAATGAGGCCCAATCCCTTATTAGTTCAAGTGGTCCAAGTTTAGTGCATTAGGGTTTTTGACCAAAGTCTTCAAGAATTCAAATTCAAACATGCAATTAATGCTCACCTACCATATATGTACTCTAGGGGACAAGAGTAGAAAAATCCAAATTTTTTCCAACAACCTTTTCCCTAAACCTTAGCTTTATATATAGAGGACACTATACATTAGTCTTCATTTCCCTCCTCATTTCGAAGTAAGAATTTCAAGAAATCTCCTAAGTCCATAAAATGCT